CAATAAATCTAAAAGAGAGTTCATTGAAATGTCTTATATTTTCCTTAACGATTTTTCCATCAATGTTAAGAGTGACATTAAGAATCTAAGCGATATATACCACTTCTTACTTAAATCAGATACCAAGAACAATACAACATCACAGATAACTAACTTGACTGATATATCTATTAACAACTAACCTACTTTAATAATAATTTTCATTAACTAAAAAAGATAACATTCCCTTGCTTTTCTTAGATACATCTCAATAAGATATTATTATAATAATACATGAACAATATACTAATTAAAAAAAGAATTTCAATTAAGAAAATTCTAAAATAATATCTCCCCAAACTGGGATCTAACTTCATCGGTTTTACCAATGAACCTTAACGACATAAATATTCAAAAGCCTACTTGTAATTGTCAGCGCTTGCGTTCTAAGAAAACAGAACCTCACATTCAAACTTTATAACAATCAAAAATTTAGTTATTGCCGACAATTCAAAGAATTACTTCCTTTAAATGTAGTTACATTGGGTTTTTCGATTAACCTTGGGTAAACCTTTGCGTTTTAAGTTCAAAGCTACCATACATTTCCAACGTTAAAAAAAACTTTTTTGCACATAGTAACAAAAAACACCACTATGTTGTTACTAGCTAAGTTTTTTAACATCCTAACTCGACATTTCTAAAATTTACGGTAAGATAAATGTTTTTTATTAGATAATATATGGTAGCTAATTATAATTTATTCTCTTTCAGCCCTGAAGAAGCCAAATTAATTCTCTTTGGCGAAAACGTTCGGCGAAATAATTGATACACATTAGAGTTTTTCTTGCAGATTTCCCCAATATTTAAGAGTTTACTATATATATATATATATATATATATATATATATAATATATATATATATATATATATATATATATATATTATATATATATATATATATATATATATTATATATATATATATATATATATATATATATATATATATTCTGTATTTGATTTTCGTCTAGCCAATTAGTCCAGTCGTTAGAGATTGGTCCTCTAAAAATCATACAAACAAGCTAAATTTTGGCGAGAATGTCAAGTTTATGACTCTAAAAAATATGCAAAACAGTTGACCACTCCTACACCCCGACTTTCCTCTAAAAGACCCCTTCGTAAGGGGGAAGTAGGAAAAAATCGATTTACCAAGAATCTGTTCGCCCTAGAAGAAAATGTTCCAAATAAAAGATTTAGCAAGATAATATTAAATAAAAATATCTATTAGTACTTTTTGTGTAGAATGAACTGATCTCTCAGAAATAACGCTTACAGCAACCGGTGATTTTAAATGTCAGTTACGCACCTGAAATCAATTTTAAACAAAATTTGTATAAAGTTGACGATAAAAATTCGATACCTTTTTTATCAGAGTGTGCCAACGACAAAAATCAAAATGCGTTTTAAAGGTGAAGAATGCGTCTTTTGTATGCTGCGTTTAAATTTTACCACAAATGAAGTCAGTTTCTGTAAATATGTTCAATAAATAAACGTTGCACGATATTTGCCATTTTTTTACGATTCTCATGAGAAAAATGAAATTTATAACTTCCATTAACTGGTCATAGTGGAATTTTCATTTTTAGAACCAATCTTTAAAATCTTTGACATCAAATTTCAATTTTTAGTTTTGGCAACAAAAAATAAGGCATTTGAAATATGCTTTCACTTGACTTGACTTCACATGACGTTCACATTACAAACAATCGCGCATCACGGCAAATGCCTCCTCGAAGGCGGTATTGGATGAAATTTGTAGCTAAAAATGTGTGGTTTCAAAAAACTTACTTGTGTAATCAAAAAGAAGCAGTTTTAAACGTTTTAGATTGTTTGTAATGTGAAAGTTTAAATTCAGCATTTTTTAGGCATATTTCAAATGCCTAGTCAATGAAAGTGATACATTTTATTGATCTCATAAAAATAATAAATAATGAAAAAAAAAATCCGCAACGTTTATTTATTTAAAACCTTTATAAAAACTAACGTTATTTGCGGTACAATACAAATATTGCATAAAAAGCTTTATTTTTCACCTTTAAAATATATTTTGATTTTTTCCGATAGGACACTCTGATCAAAATATATCGAATTTTTACCGTTAAGTCGATACAAATTTTATTTACAATTAATTTTCGCGCGGTAATTGACATTCTAAATCTTCGGTCGCTTCAAGCATTATTTCTCAGCTAACGGTTTATTTTATACAAAAAGTGATTATAAATATCTTCATTTAAAATTATTTCAGCTAATTTTTTATTTGAAACATTTTTTCTACGGCGTATAGATTCTTCGTAAATCGATTTTTTTCATTCCCTCCAAACAAGAGGGTGTTTTAAGGGAAAGCCTGGAGGTAGCAGCAGTAAACTTTTTGCATATTTTTGGGGTCCCAAAATTGAAATTCTCAGCAAAATTCAGCTTGTTAGTATGATTTTTAGAAGTTCAGTGGCATTTTCGTCTCTGGCGACTGTAGTAAATACATACTGACATATTAATTTCGCTGTACATATGTTTTAACTATCTCACCAGCTGCTATCCTAAATTCTACCAATAGTGGAGATAATCTAATGTTGAGTTTTTATTAATTCTAATTTATTGTTCTTAATTTAATTTACTAAAGGTTCTATTTATAACACTCACAAATTTATTAAAGTCTTTATTTGTACTAATTTATTTTACAATAATTTATTACGACCGTACATTTAAATACGCGAGCGCGAATTTATCTTCTTACTAACTGGCCATAATAAAAATCCTGTTATTTATATCCAAACACCGGTATCTAGAAGGGTCTGGGGAATCCTTCCGATTATACCAGAAAGTAAATTGGCTGGGTCATCGTTCGACCGGTTTCTGGAAACTTCGAACGACCGTTTCAAGTATATTTCTGAGAGCTGATCGAACGGTCTCGTCGAATCTACAACATGAGTAAGTAAACAACATGTTTACAGGTTTTCTTTAATATGACTAATTTTTACGTAACATTGCCCCCCTCTTAAAAGATGGTTCCTCCTGGAACCTTGTCGGGAATGGAACTGGAACGACATGCTGGTATCGGCAACTGGACCCCTTTTTACAACTTCCACTTCTTCATCTACGTCGTGGTCACCTTCGAAAGACGCCAGCCGGTTATGGTGTACTATCATCGGCTTTCCTCTCGGAATCTTGCTTATTCGGTAAATGACATCATTGATCTTCTCCATAATGAAGTATGGACCTTTCTAAAACTGCTGCAACTTGGGAGAACAACCTTTTCGCTTTTTGGGATTATAGAACCAGACTTTGTCGTTCTTCTTAAAACACCCTTTTTCTAAAACACATCTGGAGATGGGAACGGACCAACTCGTGTACATCGTCCATTCTTCTTCGTAATTCGATCACATAATCTTCACCTGCTACATCTTCTCCAGGTCGACACCCAAACTCTAGATCACAAGGTAGTCGCATCTCGCGTCCGAATAGGACTCTGGCTGCTGTCTGGCTTATCGATTCGTTAACAGCAGATCTATAGGCCATTGTGAAGAACGGAACTTTTCTTTGTCAAATACTTGCCAACTGTTCTATTCATCCGTTCTACCATACCATCCGATTGCAGATGATAAGCCGTAGTTCTTGTTTTCTTCATACCTAGTCTATCACATATTCCTTGAAACAGATCGCTTTCGAAGGTCCTGCCTTGTTCACTATAGATCTCCAAAGGCACTCCAAATCGACTGATATATTCATGGATCAACTTATCTGCAACGGTGGTGGCCTGGTCTGGAAGTGCGTAAATCTCGACCCACTTAGTGAAGTAATCCATTACTACCAACATGTACTTGCCTCCATTATCACTTTCTGGAAATGGCCGAGCAATGTCCAAAGCTATTCTTTTAAACGGGCTTCCAACATTATATTGTCTCATAGGAGCTCTCCTTTTTCGATAAGGCCCGTTACTCGTAGCACAAATAGTACATTTCTTACACCAGTCTTTTACATCGTCGGAACTGTTCATCCAATAAAACCGTTCCCGAATTCGCTGAAGGGTCTTCTTTACACCAAAATGCCCTCCTGATGGACTGTCGTGTAACTGACGAAGTACTTCGGCTATTCTGCTCTTTGGGATTACCAACTGTCTTCTCTTCTCTGAACCGTCATCATTTTCCAGGACTCGTTTGAGCAAGCCATCTTTCATGATAAATGAGTCCCACTGGGCCCAATACGTCTTAACTACTGAGCATAGGTTTGATATTTCTTGCCAAGGTGGTCGACGGTTTCCCTCTTTCCATTTTCGGATTTTCTGTATAACTGGATCTCTCTCTCTTGTTCTTCCCTTATCTTCGTAGGCGTCCAGTCGTCGTTGACCATCTTCGTTCTTAGCATTGCTGCTTCCTTGGATTCCGTTTTGTTGCAGTGGAAACACTCTGCTGGGCATGGCTTTCTGGAAAGAGAATCAGCGTTTCGGTGGATAACTCCGGCCCGGTGCTCAATCTTGAAATCGTATTCTTGGAGTCGTTCGATCCACCTGGCTATCTGACCCTCAGGATTCTTAAACTGCTTCAACCACTTAAGGGCGGCATGGTCGGTTCGGATTAAAAACTTCCTTCCATAGAGGTATTGATAGAAGTGCTCTACTGATTTCACTACTGCCAGAAGTTCTCTTCTCGTGACGCAATAATTCCGCTCAGGTTTTGAGAGAACTTCACTAAAATATCCAAGGACTCTTTCCTGTCCTCCTTGAATCTGAGACAGCACTCCTCCAATTCCCACATTACTTGCATCTGTATCTAAGATGAACTCTCCTTCTGGCAGTGGATACCCCAAAATGGTGCTGTGATTAAATGCTTTTTTAAGGTCTCGAAGGCATTTTGGCAGTCTGTATCCCAGCGGTAATCTCTTGCTTCCTCTGTGAGTCACGTTAATGACTTAGCGATATCTGCAAACTTCTTAATAAACCTTCGATAGTAACTACATAGACCAAGAAAACTTCTCACTTAATGTTTGTCAGTTGGTTCTGGCCATTCCTTAATGGAATCGATTTTTCCCTTATCCACGGCCACTCCTTCTTTACTGACTATATGACCCAGATAATTGACTTTACTTTGAAATAGCTGGCACTTCTTGGGGTTTAACATCACTTGGGCAGCTTTAAGTCGATTAAAAACGTTTTCTAAATTCTTCAGATGGTCTTCAAATGTCTCCCCCAAGACGATTATGTCATGTAGATAAACCAGGCATGTTTTCCAAGATAACCCTCTCAACACATTTTCCATAAGCCTCTCAAATGTCGCAGGAGCATTACAGAGTCCAAATGGCATAACGTTGAATTGCCACAATCCAGATCCTGTGGTGAAGGCTGTCTTTTCTTTATCTACTGGGTCCATTTCTACCTGCCAGTATCCAGACTTTAAATCCAAAGTAGAAAACAATTTACTTCCAGCCAATGTGTCCAATGTGTCATCGATCCGAGGCAGAGGATAACTATCTTTCTTGGTAACGTTCAGCAAACGGTAATCCACACAGAACCTTCGTCGTTCCGTCTTTCTTCTTAACCAGGACCACCGGAGAGACCCATGGGCTCGTAGAAGGTTCTATCACCCCGTCTTTCTTCATTTCCTGAAGCTTCTCTTTTTGCCTGTGCTAATCGTCGAGCTTTTTGACGAATTGGCTTAGCATTACCAGGATCAATTTTATACTTAACAACGATAGTTCTTCCCGTCTTTCCTCCTTTCGGTACGAAAATATCACGATACTGCCTAAGAAATTCCCTTAATTTCCTTTTCTCAATCTGATTCAGAGACTATCCAGCAACTGTAACCATTTGGTCGAATTTGTCGTTGGAATTATCAGATGTTGTCGTCTGACGGATTATAGATGTCACAGGTACATAAGTTCCTACTTTTGTCTCTTTCTTGATGGTGACTGGATAGTCATTGACATTGATAAGTCTCACAGGTATTTCTTTAGCCGAAATCACCAATTCCTTTCCAATTATGATTCCTCGGCCAACCTCGTCGTCATAGTTCCAAGGCTTCATCATAACAGGTGTCCCTTCGTCCACAATTCCCTGTAGGCGCGCTACTATTATCGTTTCACTTCTCGCAGGCACGACTGTATCTTCTTTAACGGCTGCTTGCATAGTGTTGTCATCATGTGGATGGAGAAATACCTCCTCGTTACCAACTTTGATTACCTTATTCTTAAAATCCAATTGGAATCCATGCGTATTCATTACGTCCATTCCTAATATTACATCCTGTTCGATGTCAGCAACTATAACAGTATGGACGAACTTTTCTGCTCCAATTCCTAGTTGTACCTGGATTTCTCCATGAATGTTGGCATTTTCACCTGTAGCAGTCCGCAGTCGCAACCTCGTTGGTAACAGTTTCTTTCGGCTGTTTATAACTGTCGGGCGTATAATGGTTCTGGTCGCTCCGGTATCCACCAACAACGTATGCATTTTACCATTTATTTCTCCATCTACATATACACTATCTTCACGACATTTCAAAGAAGCTATTAGTATGAGAGGGTCTTTGGAAAAGTTCTGGGTCGAAGTTGCCCCCCTAAGGCGGGCCGACCCGTTCTAGTTTTCCTGATGGTGAGTTTCTTGATTTGCGTCGTACCTAGGATGCTTACATGAACTTCGTACGTGTCCTATTTCGCCATAATTCCAGCATCTTATGGTCTTCGTTTTCTTGTATGTCATGCTTTTCATCATATTAACGAGCTGGTCAAGTTTATCTTCATCTCCTTCCTCTTTTACAGTCCTAACTTTACTGTACCCGCCAGAGGCCTGCGTAACTGACTCGTAATCGAGGGCAGCGGATAAGACATCAACCAGCGTCTTGTGACGAGCTAATCGCAGTTTTCTCTGCATTTCATGATCACGAAGACCATCTATAAACGTTTGAACGGCCAACTTCTCCATCATGTCTTCGGGAGCTGTTCTTCATCTTTTTTTTTTTGTCTTTCGTCTTCGATTTTTAAGCTGCGACTGATATACATGCTCCAAGTGTTTATGTGGCCATATCACATATTTAACCTCTTCTTAAGTTGTTCGAAATCATCTGTCTCCTCCACGGCTATGGTCTGAAGCACATCTAAGGCATCTCCTCGAAGAGCGATAGTCAGGTTTACAGCCTTTTCTTTTTCAGACCATCCATTCCTTTGCAGCTGATTCGAACTGTTTCATGTAGTTGTTCCATGACATTTTCCGTCGAAAGTTGGGACTTTCGAACAGAACCTCCACTTCCTTAAAATTTCGGCCGTGTTTCCAACTTACATTTCGTCTCGTCTTCTTTTGTCTCTGCTGTAATTGGATTGTTTCCTCTCTCTGTTGTCCCTGTTTCCTCCAGCTTCTTTTCCATCTCTTTCATCTTTTCTTCGAAGGCCAACATATCGGCAGCAACTTGTTTTTTTAACGACGACTGTCTATCGTCGAGGGCAGACATCTCAGAAGTGACTTTAGAGAGGTTATCAGAAACTTTGCTCTCCAGAGAAGAAATCTCGTAGAAACTTTGTTTCTAAAGAAGCGATGTCGCCGGAACTTTCGAATCGCCAAAACTTGTTCTCTAATGATTCATCGAAATCGACGAGATGACAGCAGCATGTTTGTCTTCAAATATATAAGTTTCCGGATCTAAACCCTCTTCTTTTAAAGTGTTCTTAAGTCGTTGGACTAAATCAACCTTTTTTTCCGGTAGAAGCTAATTCTCTGTCCTCGAGATGTATTCTTAAATCCGTAACTGTGAGCTTATAAATCGTAGCCATTTTCACAATTTCACTTCTAAACACCAGTGTAATGTCTTTATTAATTCTAATTTATTATTTTTATTTTAATTTACTAAAGGTTCAATATTTATAACACTTACCTATTTAATTTACTTAAAGTTTATTTATATTAATTTATCTTACAATAATATATATATATATATATATATATATATATATATATATATATACATGTTGATATATATGAAGACTAGTTGTGGCGGTGTTGACAAGAATTGCCTCGAATTAACGGGAACTTAGGCTGGTTTCCTTTTTATCGGATGGGGGACCCATCGGTTATTACCTGCGTCTCCGCCGGCCGGTGTGTGATCTAGAAAATACTTAAATAGAAAAGATATTAGTCATAATATATTTACAGTTTTATACGCCATAATATTTATTATCGTAACAGTACTCACTTTTTAGTTTAAAATCCATTATCAAAATATATTACGCAAGATATTATCACAAGAATGGCCAAATTACAATTATTTTCAAATGCCTTTACTCATTTTCTTTTATACTATCTTTAATTTTTTAATTTTTAATACCACATTATTAACTAATTAAAGGAAAAACTATTTTTAGAAAGTATTTTCCGGAAAATAATTCCTGCTCTTTGTCACCTACCGTCTTATGATGGCACACTGTGTACTTGTGTACAAAATATTGTATTTGTGTTTCTTTCCCATAATGTTAACTCCTAGTTTTTTACTTCCCTTATTCTACCCATATTTAGGTGGACCTACGCCAGCGATACCTTAACAAAAAGTTTAAAATATCGGGGTAAAATAACTACTTATGGTGGAGGCGGCTTTTTTACCGAATTATCAACTACGAAATTTGAAACAAAGGCAATAATAAAAAAGTTGAAGGATAATCTTTGGATCACAAGAGGGACGAGAGCAGTATTTGTGGATTTTAGCGTGTATAACGCAAATTTAAATATTTTTGGAGTTGGTGAGTATAGGCATATTATATTTAAGAATGGATATATCTATCTTAATATCTAATTTAAATACAATATTACAATATTATAATACTAAAATATAAAATTTTAAACTTTTAAAATCCTAATTTATTACATGTCAAAAAATTTTAAACTAACATACACAAAAATGAAAGGAACACTTCAAAACAAAAACCAGGTCACAATTTAAAAGACCATCAGGCGTTCACTCACAATACCGACACTGCACCGAAATTTATACCAGTCCATTGGGGCCTGGATATCAATCAATCACTAATATTTACTCTATCTACTGCTGCTCTGAAGAGTTCCATATAACTGCATTGAAACCAGTCCCTTAAATTCTTCAACCATGACACTCTCCTTCTTCCTATACTCCTTCCTCCTCTTATCTTTCCCTGTGTTATCAGCCTTAGAAGTTTATATTGCTGTCCCCTCATTACGTGCCCAAATATTGTAACTTTCTTATTTTTATTGTGTTTATTATTTCGCATTCTTTGCCCATGTCTCGCAATACTTCCGTGTTAAATCCGTAAACTAAGTTTTCGAAACCAATTCAGATTTCTGCTTTAATCTGTGCCTTCTAAAAATTGCAAGGCAAAACAGACGTTGATAAAGATGTTAATAGAGACATGGGGAATCTAAAATTTGCATTCCACGACATATTATCTCCTCAACTAAGCAAAAATCCTTAGCGAATTGGTTTCTTGTACTCATACACAGTATATCCGAATAAAAAGAAAAAGACAGTCAAGATTTGATTTCACGTACAATGCGTCTGTGTATCTGCTTATACGTATTTCGCTCTAATAGGGCTCATAGGGCGTTCTGAACGTGAAAATAAATCTTTTCTGTCTTTTTCTTTTTATTCGGTTATACTCTGTATGAGTACAAGAAACCAATTCGCTAAGGAATTTTGCTTAGTTGAGGAGATATGTCGTGGAATGCAAATTTTAGATTCCCCATGTCTCTATTAACATCTTTATCAACGTCTGTTTTGCCTTGCAATTTTCAGAAGGCACAAATTAAAGCAGAAATCTGAATTGGTTTCGAAAACTTAGTTTACGGATTTATTATCAGATGTCGCTATTTGCGTCTATACGAAGCCATGTTAGATTTATTTAGAAAAGATTGAAGCAGATACACAGACGCATTGTACGTGAAATCAAATCTTGACTGTCTTTTTATTTTTTACTTCCGTGTTAGTTTTCTTCTGTGTCCATGCTATTCAAAGCATCCCCCTGTAACACCACATTTCAAAAGACCACATTTCAAAACATTTATGTGTTATCGCTTCAATGTCCAACTTTCAAGTCCATATTGCAGTATCGAAAACACGTAGCATCTCAGTGCTCTTATTCTCAGTTCTAATTTAAGGTCTTTGTTGCAGAGAATTGTTTTCATTTTTACAAACGCATTTCTTGCTATTTTTATCCTGGCTCTTATTTCAGTTGTTTGATCATATATTATCTGAAATCCAAGTTCCTAGCTATTTGCATTTATTAACCCTTTCTATCGGTACATTTCCCAAATGCATGTTTGTTGGTATAATTGTTTTCTTTGGTAGTATCATGTATTTGGTCTTTTTTATATTCATTTTTAGTCCATATTTTTCTTAGAAACTGTTTGTTTTGTTTAGCAGTAATTGGAGTTGTTCAGCAGAGTTTGCCATAATCACGGTGTCATCTGCATGTCTTATGTTGTTAATAGAACTTCGGTTAATTATTTTTCCTTAACTTTGAGATAGTAATACTTCTTCAAAAATGGCTTCACTATATACATTAAATAGTAATGGGGACATAATGGAGAAAGAAGATATTAACATCGTCCTAGGAGATTTTAACGCTAAAATAGGAAGAGGGAAATTCCAAAATATCGTAGGAGAATACGGACTAGGAGAACGAAATGAAAGAGGAGATAGACTATTACTGTCTTACTAATAAAACACTCGTATTCTAAGGTTATTCCGTATTTATACTTAGAATAGTTATCCTAAGTATAAGGTAAATATAATACTAAAATAATTTGTTACAAATAAACTCGGTATAAGTTAGTTATAAGTATTCCCACTTTATTCCGAAATAATAGTTTGGCAATGTCGCAATCTTTTGCATAAATACATAGAACAACGAAATATTGAGTGAAATTTGTCAATTTTGATTTGTCTTTGAAACTGAAAATGACAACTGACACCATATATATCTTTATTTGTTATCTTATATGTTTGAGTTTGAGTATTTAAAAATTGCAAAAAACTTTACACCGCCTTTAGAAAACCGATATTTTATTCTAAATTCCCTATTATTCTAAAATATAGTGTTTTGAAAAAGGATTTATTCTTTCTTTAAAAATTTTTCTTTTTGGTGTATTTTCCATCATGTTAATTAAATTATCAACAGCCCCAGCACCTCTTAAAACATTTTTTTTATTAAATAGCTACTCACAAAATAATACAAAAAATAATATATTATTGTCACTGATGACTTTCACATTATTATAAAATAGGTTATACCGTTATACCAAACTTAAACTAGGGTGCGGGTTGGTATAATCTTGGAATAAATTCTTATATCAAGTATAACCTATATCTAAGTTATTCCGTGTTTATTGGTAAAGATTTTGCCTATACCTGAATTATTCTCAGTATAAGTTTTATACTTGGTTTATTAGTTATGCTGTTAGAGTTTTGCCAGCAACACAATATGATAGCAACAAACACTTGGTTTAAGTTACCTCAACGTAGATTATACACATGGACTTCTCCGCTACACACAAAAGAAAGAATAATAAGAAATCAAATAGATTATGTTTTAATCAACCAACGATTTCGTAACTCCATTACAAGTACAAAAACATATCCTAGTGCTGATGCAAATTCCGACCACAACCCTGTAGTAACAAATATTCGCACAAGAATTAAAGTAATAAAAAATGCAAAGCCGAAGAACAAACCTAATATGGAACTACTAAAAGATGTACAGATTAAAGATAAAACCACTGTAAAACTAAATGAAAAACTCTCAGAAATAGACCGAACCCAAATAAATATCCAAAATATAAATACAACTTGGCAACAAATAAAATCCATCCTCGTCAATTCTGCAAGGGAAGAAATTCCAAATACACGATTAATGGCAAAAAAAGACTGGATGACACCAGCTATTCTAAAGATGATAGACGAAAGGAGGAAATACAAAAATAAGAACACAATCGATTACAAACGATTAAATACAGAAATACGAAGGAAAATAAAAGAATCAAAAGAGAAATGGCTCGAAGAAAAATGTAAAGAAATAGAAGAATTAGAACATAGACATGATTACTTTAATATGTACAAGAAGGTGAAAGAATTTTCATTCATCCACAAAAAACAACATTGCCCACTGGTAAATAACAACGGAGAGTTAATTCATAACACCAAAGATAAAATAGAAGAATGGGAAAAATTTATACAACAGCTGTTCCGAGATGAAAGAATAGACACTACAATAAATAATGTTACTGAAAGCCCACCAATTCTAAAAGTCGAAGTGGAATATGCCATTAAACAATTAAAGACCAACAAAAGCCCTGGACCTGATGAAGTTTATCCTGAAATACTTAAATTGATCGAAAGTAATAACATTGATTTGTTAGTAATTTTGTTTAATACAATCTACGATACTGGGGTAATACCAGAGGAATAGTTAGAATCTATTTTTATTCCCATTCCAAAACAAGCTAACTCTAGGCGATGCATGCGCAGATTTTAGATTAATAAGTCTTATGAGCCAAGTGCTTAAAGTTCTATTAAAAATACTTCACAATAGGGTATACAAAAGGTGTGAAAAAGAAGTTGGATACGATCAATTTGGATTCAGAGCCGGAATGGGGACCAGAGAGGCCTTGTTTTCACTACAAGTACTGCTGCAGAAGTGTTACGACCAACAAAAGGATGTCTTTCTATGTTTTGTAGACTTTGAAAAGGCATTTGATCGCGTAAACCATAATAAAATGTGAAATTCCTTGCAGAGCATCAACTTGGATAGTAAAGATCTCCGATTAATTAAGAACTTATATTGGAGGCAGAGTGCCAAGATTAGGATCGACGATCATACATCTAGAAATATTAGTATAAATAAAGGAGTAAGGCAAGGATGCAAGCCTTGGAAAACCTTTCCACAGGAATAAAAATTAATGAAGAACCAATATCTAGCATAAGATATGCAGATGACACTGTCCTACTGGCTGATACAGACACAAACTTACAGGGGGTTATAGACCACCTCAAGGATGCTTGTTGAGAGTTTGGAATGAAGATCAACGAAAAAAAAAACAAAAGTAATGGTGATCCAAAGAAAACAGAATATCGCCTTACCTATAAAAATAAATGGGAATATTTTAGAACAGGTAAACCAATACAAATACCTTGGCTGTTGGATTAATTGCAAGCTGGACCCAGAACAAGAAATTAAAGCGAGAATTGCTCAAGCTAGGATAGTTTCTTTAAGATGCGCGCTCTATTCTGCGATACACATATAAATATTAAATTGAGATTAAAACTTGTAAAATGTTTTATCTGGTCTGTTCTTCTCTACGGAGTCGAAACGTGGACTTTAAAAATAAAGAGCCTGAATATAATCGAGGCATTTGAAATGTGGGTGTACCGTAGAATTTTAAAAATTCCTTGGACAGCACGAAAAACAAACGAAGAAGTACTAGCTAGACTCAATGTAGAAAAAGAACTATTGAGAACAGTCAAAAGAAGAAAACCAGTTATTTAGGGCATTTGTTGCGCAACGAGAAATACTACATCCCTCAGTTGATAATAAAAGGCAAAATAGAAGGAAAGCGAGGAATTGGAAGAAAAAAATTGTCCTGGTTACGTAATATCAGAAACTGGACAGGACTTGGATTTGAGGAACTCTTAAGAGCAGCTGAAGATAGACAAACGTTTGCCACCATAACCGCTAACCTCCATTGATGGAGACGGCACTTGAAGAAGAAGGAGACATAATACATCCCTATCTAACTCCTCTCCCGATTTCAATTTCTGGACTGGGTTCGTTATCTATTACGATTTGGGCTCTTTGATTCCAGTAGAGGTTTGTTATTCTTCGTCCCTATGATCTATGTTTTTTGTCTTTAGAATTTGGCCTACATTTTTCATGTCTTAGTTTGTCAAATGCTTTTTCAAAATCAACGCAACAAACATGCACATCAACATTCATTCATATATTATAATGCATCTTTAAGCTAACACATTAAAAGCAAATAACGCTTCTCTGGTTCCTAGTCCGTTTCTGAACCCAAACTGACTATCATCTATTCCTTCTTCCAGTTTTTTATTTATACGACCATGTATTATTTTCAAGAATAATTTGAGAATGTGAATGTGACTTATTAGTGATATTGTTCTGTATTCACTGCAATATTTAGCGTTTGTATTTTTAGGGATAGCACAAATGGTGGAGAGTATCCATTGTTTCGATATGTGCCCTGTTTTGTATACTGACTTAAATAAGTCTACTATAATGTCTAAGGTTTCATCATTTATTCATTTTAAGATTTCTATAGGCATTTGGTCTGGACCTACTTTACCATGTTTGCTGTTTTTTCATGCCATTTTAATTTCCTCTTTTAATATCTGTAAAACCATATCCTCTTCTACTTCTATTTGCTCTGTTCTATTCTCTTTGAACAGTTCGTTGATGTATTCTGTCCATCTCTTTTAATTTGTCGTTAGTATTCAACACAAGTTTCCCATTTGCATCTTTCAGTATTCCCGGTTTTCTTGTTCTATTGTTGTAAATTAATTTTTTAATTTTTTATGGTGTTAAAACTATCATGTCTTTTCCGGTATTCTTCCATTTCTGCGCATTGTTCTTTCGCTTTTTTAATTCTGTATTTTATTTGTTTATCCAGTTTTTTGTACATCTGGTTATCTTTGTTCTTATATTGACGTTTTTCTTCCATTAAACCTAGAATTTCTTCCGTCGTCCATTGCTTCTTTTTATATCTGGTTGGTATTAGAATTTCTTTTTGACTTTTATCTATTTATGTCTTTATTAATGATAAATAAAATAACTATACTGTCGAATTGTAAAAGTTTATTAAACAATAATTATTAGCCTGAGAAAACTGAAAATATTAATTAAACATGTGTAACCGTTATTACATATTTGAGAACATTGACATAACCTTAAAAACTTAATTCTTCTTTTTCTTATATCTTGAATATTACATTAGTACGGGAGCTTATATTAACACTCCCACTTATTCAAGATTTGAATACAAAGACCTAATACAAAAGACATGAAAGCAAAGATCTAATACAAATTAAC